GGGGGGGGGGTTACATCATAAAGGAATGGTAATCATGTGGAAACCTGTGAGGAATCAGATCAAAAACATTACAGAAAGCAGCGATGTTGTGACCCTATTTTTTCGAAGATATTTACCTTTTTAGTAGAGGAAGAACAGGCGTGTTCTATGGTTAGTCGCCATATTCTCTGACATGTTGCGGACTTTAAGATAGTTAATGAATCCCCTGAAGAACAGCAGGATGCCTGTGAGAGGAAAAGACAGTTCACTTGAGAGTGGGCAAAATAATACAAGACTTTAAAAATGAATAAACATTGCAATATATTTACCGAGCAGCAGGAAGATCCACCAGAGCCAGTATTGCCCGTTGAAGTAGCCGGTGAAGTAGTCAGAGAACTGAACACAGAGACCGTCACATTCAGTACACCAGGAAGTTACAATTCAATTAGGCACAGAAAGTACAACTGTGAACGTACCCTGACGATGAGGATCCACTTGATGAGGGAGAGGCCGAAGCCGCAGATTGCTCCGTAGCGCCCGGCGATGGTGTTTGTCAGACAGAAGGAGAGGCAGAACCCGATCCAGTTAAACAGGAAGGCCACTGCGGGGGAAAACAGATGTTAAAAACCACAAAAAGAAAGAAATGGCAGAGGTGAACACAGAAGCAACCACTCAAATGGTTTTACACCGACAATAGAGACGGACATAGCAATGCCAGGTCTTCAAAACACTTATTTATTGCAGAATCAATAATAAAGAAATGTGTTTCTGCCCTGGGCATTTATGTAGGGTGAGAAGTGCATGTTGTTGTTTAGGACTACTTTAAATGAAATGCAGACACGAGACGATAATCATCTTAATGTTGGCCTTGTGTGACGTCACGTTACGCCACGTCAGGAACAATCCTAAAAGGGATACATGACACTGGAGTTGAGAAATTATAATATGAATCGTGGCTCAAGCCCTCAGACTTACTGAAAAAGGCCAACATGAAGATTCCATCGTTCCCAACTCGGAGCTGATCGGCGTCACTGAAATCGTCTCTGGGAGGGAATTCGTCATCCTGCATTTACAAAATCAGTTAAACATCCACTACACAAAGAGCACAGATCACCCTGAGAGCGGTTTGACTAAGAGGCGTTGCCACAGATCATCTCTAAATCAACTCTAAAGAAGAATGACTCATCTGATACTGGTGGAATTCATTATATAGCTTAGCACATAAGAGACGTAATACAACTTCTACATGTAATGAAGACCAATTACTACCATTTATTTAGTTAGTGTCTGTAAGTTGCAGAATCAGCATCCCAAGCTTGCAGTTAATTGTACTTTACAAGACTTTAATGAAACAAGGTAATAGAAACACAGAACAGTGAGCGTGTGTCCTCACCAGTGGCATCACATCCACAGCGGAGGTAGCCAGTGCGGCTGCTTTGGCGTTCTCTGCTTCGTCATAAGTGGGCAGTGAGGTGGCGACGCTGTAGGGGGGGGGCACTGGGAAGTCCGCTCTGTAACCGGCCTCTGTGGGGAGAAACAGAGAGGGGGTTAAAAGGGGAAGAAAATCGTTATCATGTTTTCTGGGACTGCCCTGTCATCGAGGTCTTTTGGAGAGAGATACATAATGCCAAATGTCATGTTCCCATGGAGAGTAAGACTTTGTTTTTTGGACTCA